TGGCACGCTGTAACATAAACACACACGAACATTCGCGCAAGCGCCCTGCGCCGCCGAAACGAGACAGCAGGCGCAGGCATACATTTTCGCCGCGCTGTAGAAAGAGAGGTGGATACTTCCTCTCCTACGCCGCGCCGGCTGTCTACTCTCCATCCGTCTTGCGAATTTTCGATCAGGTCACGTGTCCTGACGCGAGTTTAACATTTTTTAACCATTACAAAAGTGTACAACTCCGCTAAATAAGTTTTCAGTTCAAAAACTTTTTCTTTGGAATTTAAACTTAAAATATATTAGAGGAGTATTTTTATCATCTTTTGTTAATGATTATCTTATAGCTATTAACGGGATTGTAACCTTGTTTTTTATGAGTCTCCGATATTTCGACACTGTTGCAAGCGCCATGATCACGGACCATATCCCTTTAATATCTATAATGTGGTGAGTGATCTTGAAAATTTAAATCAATGTATATATTATCTTATTTATGAAGTAGCAAACCCGAATGATGCTGTACGATAAAAATATTTAAAACTAAACCTTACTGTTGTGCACCCAGCCCAGTAGAATATGTACGATTTCACGAAAATTTAAAATTTCTACTAACCTTTAAAATTGTTCTTCAGTACGAAGCTTCTACAAATTGAAACATATAATTTCTTACTTATCAAGTCTTCATACACAAAATTTTAAACAATCAAATAAATCGTTTAAAAAGTTCCAGGAACATCTACAATGTCCTTCGTTTCAAGTGCTAACAGTGGTACAAGGTACACAAGTAAGATCAAGGTACGAAGAAACCATTAGATTTATTACGAGCAATAAACCTTTATAATTACAAATGTCTGGACTGGGTAAGACTCAGTTATTGCGTGCGCTGGCAATGACACAAGTCAATAGAAATTCAACGATTTGCGTAGTTCCTACATACATATTATAATACCAACACTAGTGGTTGCCTACGACTTCATCTGCGTGGAAATATTGGTTTCCCATACAAACTTCCACCACCATTTTCATCACATTAAAGGATGATTTTAAGATATTTATATACCAAATTTCATTTCAAATTTTATCAATCTTCATCACTGGTTCTGCGGTTTGAGCGTGAAGACTTAACAGACAGATACACACTATCGCAAATTTAATAACATCATATATTATAAAAACATATGTTTTTTTTAAATTTATTTATTTATGATCAAGTTACGTAAGCCGATACCTTTATATTAAACTCTAGCATATATCATACATATGTATGTGTATGTATAAAACGTTACTGTTAGTAAATAAAATTAATAACTATGTGAGTAGTGAATAAATGACTGCAAATGGTTGTCAGTATTTGACAGTTAGTCTGTGTCAACATAACTAAATCAACGATTTGCGTGGTTCCCTACATACCTACCATAAAAAAATTTATAGGTAGTTTCAAACAAAATTGTGCAGAATGTAAACATTATTTTCGTATCTTTTTTATATTTCGCCAAAAAGAAAATTTGGCAGACTGATGTTTCATTTAGTCTGTCGGTGATTAATAATGTTTTATGTTGAAATCAAGCCAATCGCGAGTCAAACTAGCATGAGTAAGGTCTCGTACAGTACTCAAAAAACGAAACTAGAAATAAAATCTAAGAGAATAAATAAAATAATACCTCACTAGCGGGTGCACACGACTTCATCTGCGTTGATAAAGTGGTAATTACAAAAATCTACTAAAATTTAAAATTAAACTATCCTTGTCATTTCCTCCCCACTAATCAGTGATAACTATACCAAATTTCATATACATCGGGTCAGCGGTCTAGCGGTTAATGGAGGAAGGCAATGGTTAGCGCGTTCGGCTGCGATCGTTGAAGTTAAGCAACTTTCGCAGTGGTCGGTCATTGGATGGGTGACCAAAAATTTACTATCTCGAGTTCCTTCGTACTTCGGAAGGCACGTTAAGCCGTTCGTCCCAGATGTATCTGCAGTTAGCAACAAACTAACAAACTGGGCCCGCGTGGTGGGTATACCTAATGGCCCAATCTCCCTAGGATTTTGTCATGCCGGCACTCCTCTTGGCTATTCTCTTTGCTATTTTTAAACTTAACATCAGTCTGTCATTTTATTCCTTAAAAAGCTAAATAAAGACAGTCTGCTGTTAAGTTTACAAATGCCAAACATAAACAGCCAAGAGGAGTGCCTTTATCGCATCTGCCAAAAACATTATTACACTCGCCTTGTCAAGAAAATTTTACCGCACCTCTACAACCAGTCATTAAGTTACGATGACAATCACTTAACTTACTGAATAAAATTAATTGTAAGGAAATGAAATGAAAATAACCTTTGTTCCAATTACACAAAGGTTATTTTCATTTCATTTCCATCTTATTAAAAGCTCATAAGTACATAGTTATTGAAAGCTCTTTCAAATCTTCCTTAAATAATGAAATCGTGTTATCGTGTGTGTATTACAACTAATTTCCTAATGCGATTTATCTCCTATAAAACATTAAAAATTGAATGGAGGCAGGAGAGAGAACCATTAATAGGCTGATTTGATCATTAATATAATCAGAGGCCCAGGCACGAATTTTGACAGCTCCATTATCGAATCGTCATCGTAACATATTGTATGGAAAGAGCCAGTTGGTTCTGACATCCAGTACAGTACAGTGACGTCCCTACCGTCCGATACGTCCCTCCAATTGAACGTCTTCGCTGCATAGTTTTCATAGAAACTTTGACGATGCGATACCATTAATGTCGCCGCACACGGGCCACCGACCACAACCACAAAACGGTGGCGGCGTTTTGTGGGGTGAGGAATCTCGCGAGTGACGTGTGGCGGCGTTTTGTATCGGCGCGCATAAGTGGCCAGTGCGGGCCACAAGAAGCGAGCAACGACGATTTGTAGCGTGTGACGGCCACCGGCGTACCGTGTGTGGCGAGGCCATATAAAATGTATGAAAACTACAAGAAATATGCCGGTGGCGGCGTTTTGTGGTTGTGGTCGGTGGCCCGTGTGCGGCGACACTTACCTTAGTCGTCCGCTGTCGCGCGCTTCAGCCACTTAGTAGCCGCTTCTAGCTTCTCGTGGCGGCGTTTGTGGCTGTGGCGTGTGGCCCGTGTGCGGCGACACTTACGGTGTTGTCAAAACTCGTGTACAATCTCCAAAGACCCAATCTCTGTTTAGGCTCCATCTTGTATCACTTGCATCCGCTTCAAATTATCTTTGACAAAGATCTCCTTTCACTGTTCCTTTCTAAATGACCTAACCTATTGATTAACTCAAGTATTGAAACTTTTTTGTTACTGAGATATTACATGAAGGACTACACGCGGAAATTGAAAAACAACACCAGCTGCTAACTATGGAGTCACAGAACAAGTATAATATAATTTTTAACCGAACGGGAGTCCCATGAAGTGGAGTAAAAAAAAACAAAAATAAATAAAGATAGATGAAAGAATAACAATTTTGTGAACCTCCTATTTTTACCTTCCCTTTTTAAGTCGATGAAAATAAAATTTAAACATTTATTACACTTCTATTAAAAAATAAACGTGCAATCGCTGTGTTTGACGTTATCTAAATTGTTTCAAAGATACAATAAACAGACAGTTGGGTTATTTCCTATATTTTTGTTGCAAAAATTACCTGCACTCAGATAAAAATTAGCCAGTACGTTTTTATCAATGAAATTTTACAAAATTCTAAGAAATGATAGGGAAGACGTTGGTATTTTCGTGAAACTTGAAATTATCTACCATAGTAATTATTATTGGACTAATTCCTACGTTAATTGTATGATGTCGGAGAAAAAAAAATATAAAACATTAATAACACTTACATGTTTACTTATAAAAGTAAAAGTGAACTTGTTTTTGACGTTAACTCAATTGCTTCAAATGTACAATAAACAGACAGATGGGTTATTTCCTTGAACTAAGACAAAAATTCGTCAGTGTGTTATTATCAATGAAATTTTTCAATTCTATTAAAAGATAAGGAAAACGTCAGCCACTTCCTGAAACTCGAAATCATGTACCGTATTATGAATAATGGAAAGTTTTAATGCAACCGTAGCACTTTTAAATGATCCCGGATTAAAATCCCGGTAGATAAAAATATTATTTGTGTAATGAACACAAATGTGTTCCCCTGCGCCTAAACAATTTGTTGTTAGTTTTTTGAGAATTTATTATTAATATTTAAAAATACATATTTTATCTTTAGTGTATAACTTTAGATAAGGACATTTATTAATTAAGAATTTAATAAGAATAATTCCATAAACTAAGGTTTTTGGTTACACTTTAATTCCTTAATATTTTTAAGTTATTATTAGACATTATTATTTCATGTAATTATGCAGTTAAAAATTTCACAGCTTACTGATAAATGGACGAATACTAAAACCAAAGTTCATGCGGAAAATAAAATAAAGGTGTCATGTTTTACATATTTTTTATTTAACAAATCAGTCATAATCAAATAAATAATTGTACCTATACAGTACATGCATACCTATCTTAGAGCCTAATTTTATTATGCTCTAAGATATCTACTCATTCGTCATAATATTCTTGATTCTTTCATGAAAATTTTGTTGAAACAAAAAGTTACAATAAATTATAGTAGAGAATCCTAAACAATGTTAAAATGCGCAAGTACTAATATTAAAACCTCTTTTAAAAACTGGTACTGAATACTCATAAAAAATATTATGTGGAAGCAAATGTTCATTTCTTATTTATAATCGAAACCATGGGAAGATCTTACTATTGAATTATATAATAAATGCACCATAATCTAATATAGACATTAAATTTAACGAAATACATATCATATGCATATATAAATCAATCAATCAAATCAATTATGTTATTTTGTAAAGTCGCATTTATAATAATATAACAAATGTCGTTTTATGAAGAAGAATATCACCATAAGTTTTGAAAAACTTATAAGTACCTTTGTTACCTATACAGTTTTAACAAAAGGATAAATTCTATGGAAATTCCACAAATATCATACCGAAATATTTGCTTATATATTAAGGGGTTATTCTGTTACTTTATTTTGATATTGTGATTTGTTATTCATTGATTCTTTAAGTACAATGTCACGTGTGTTAATTAGATTATATTAATCCCCATCAAGCTAATCTACTGAATGGAAACTGTATAATGTGATATTCGTCATAAATATTGTTAACAAAAATAATATTAATGATTATTAATGAAAGTATAATTATAATTGTATTATTTATATTTACGAGGCGTGGAGTACGTACCGGCAAAGAGAATTAGTTCCGTTCTTTTGTCTATTAATAGAAATGCGAAGGGACGGTTCGCGGTAAAATCTTTAGATACTTTGTTTGCTAACAGAAAGTCGGCTACTGCAGTCGCAGTCACACCCTCCTCGTTCACTTCAATATCAGCAACTTGTGCCATCAGAGAAGCGTACACTTTGAAATCACTTATGCCCCTCAAATTAGCCAAATCCGGATGGAAAACCCTTTTAACACCCATATCGTACAACAACTCCGGTATGCTATCAATGTCCGTGGTAATTTTAAACCTCGGGATTTTCACGTCCACCAAAGAAGCACCGTCAACTTTAAACTTATTGAAGATCGACATGATCCTTATCCTCTGTAGGGAGAAAAACAGATCCCTTATAGAACCAGTGGTGGGTAAGAAAAACAGCATTGTCACTCTGTCACCCGAACCGCAAGGCAATTCTAAGACTTTGGCACCTATCCTGGGTATTTCGGTGTAGTTGAAGTAATCTATCCTGTTCATCATATTCACTTCACCTTCGTCGACACCGAATTCGGAGTAAAAAGGCTCAGGTCTCGTGTAGACTGTGTTGAACGGGATCTTCCAGTTGCTCTTGTAGAACGAAGTGTCAGCCATGAGAAGCACGGTCGAGTTAAAGTCGTATGGTGTGAACGCATTCACAATTACACCGTTAGTAGCACTCTCCACTTCTTTATTAGCTATGTCAGCTGCAGTCACCGGGTAATTGAAGTCCAACATCAGCACTTGTAAGGATTTCAACCTCTCCACTTCTAGTATGAAAGACTTTTTGACATTCATAAGTTTGTCTACGACCATGAAACCTCTTCTCTTCGAAACATCCTTCAGCTGTGTGTCCACTCTGTTGACTATAGATCTCCACTTCCTTCTGAAGCATTTTAGTCTGAGGTGCTTCGTCACGTTCCATATTTCTTTCAAAGTCTGTCCATGCGCACCTTCGGATAATGTCAAGAGTTGAAGCCAAGTAGATATCGGTGAATACACGAAGTGTGCATCGCTGGCTTGCGCGACCCTGTCCAAGAGTTTCACGGAGAATTCATACGCCGGTCTTTTCAGTATCAGCAGAGCAGACTTGTGATTGCACTGATATCTAGCGGCGAGAGTGGACGCGCATAAAATCACGAGTAGTATTAATCTGTTCATTGCAACACGTCTCGGGTTATCGGCAGTCGAGAGAGCACTGGCTGGGCTGGACCGCTGATTCCCGCGTCCGCGACTAGATGCTAGCTTCAAAACTCAAACTGGCTGAATATACGAGGTTGTTCGCTCCGCGCGAGGTCAAATTTGCCGTTTTTATGCACTATTGACAAAAACCACTCCTGCTTCCAAGTCTCGCCGATCCAGAGTTTTGCGATGCACTCTTATACCGACCAGTTAAGGTTTAAAGTTCTGTCTAACACATTTTTTGTCCAATCACAATAATTGTAGCGTAACAAAAGGGTATTTAACAAAGTAACGGTGAATCCGATGGATGGTTGATAAATTTCTGTAGTGCGTCTATAGACCGGTATGTTTTGTTCGATTCTAATAACCTGTTGTGGATTTGTTTGATAATATACGATTTCGCGATTCCGCGCAGATAAGATTATTTCAAGGATAATATACGTGTGTAAACAAACGGTTAAAAAAATTGACTGTGAAATACTATAGCGCGTCTTATCTTATTTCGTTAAGACCTTTTTTTTTCAAAAAATATGTACACTGCGTTTTCAGCCAAAGTAGGTATCTACTTCTGTTAAGGAAATAAGAAATTAATTATGTATAATCACCGGGGCTAAGCATTAAAGTTCAACATCTACATTAACCTAAATGGGAATCGAATCCGATATGTCGATGACGACTGCGAGAAAAAACATCGTGTCATGTAGAAGGTCAAACAATTCCTGATAGGTTTATTTTTTCCCAACAGCTCGTATATAGAGTTTCATTGAAAACCTTCACATCACATTAGATAAATTTAATATTTGATCGTTGTCAATTTAATATCTGATGTGTGCAAAAATATAATTTGAAATCATAGCTGTTAATGTATGACATTATTTTGGCTGTTGCAGATAGCATATCTTTTTTGTATCCTGTGGGGGCCAATCGCCTAACGGAAATGCTTTGGGAAACGCTAACGCTTACGATTTTATATTGTTATTTCTAGCCGCCTGAGGTTTTCGAATACCTCACGCTCATTTTTTTTAATTTGTTATTACCAATGCAAAAGAAAAAGAAAGAGCGCGAGGCATTTGCATACCTCAGGCGGCTAGAAATAACAAAATAAAATCGTAAGCGTTAGCGTTTTCCAAAGCATTTCCTTTAGGCGATTGGCCCCCTGTTAATCGTTATAATGCTAAGATTAGCACAGCAATATTTGTATTCGAAAATTCGGTTAGTGTACGAATCATTAAATAATGATGAAAATGTCGAACTCTCCAAAAATTGCACATAGACTTTTAGACTACGGGTCCGTGGTAAAAATTGATGGGTCATTTAAACCACCGGAAGACCTATTTAAAAAGATAGAAGGACATTAAATAATAAAGATGTGCCGTCCCAGCACTATGCCGTCACTGGTAAGCTGTATGTACTACCTGTATCTGTACTTTTAAATTCTCACCTGCACTCAATTGGGCAGCTTACCAGTGACGGCATAGTGCTGAATCTTATTATTTAATGTCTTTCTATCTTTCTAAATAGGTCTTCTGGGGGTTCAAAAGACCCATTAATTTTTACCACGGGCCTGTAGTCTATCAATCTATATGTATTAAACTCAAAGGTAACTGACTGACATAGTGATCTATCAACGCACAGCCCAAACCACTGGACGGATCGGGCTGAAATTTGGCATGCAGGTAGATGTTATGACGTAGGCATCTACTAAGAAAGGATTTTGATCAATTCTACCCCCAAGGAGATAAAATAGGGAATGAAACTTTGTATGAAACTTTGTCAATTTTAAACCGATCGGACTGAGACTTTGCATGCAGGTATAAGAAGGATCATAGATGAATGTCATTGTGTATAATACAAGCCTGAGAACAGAAACTGTAGTCTACACGTTTGTTTATATAATCAAAGCACATAGACTATATTGGACTGACAACGACGTTTGTTGGAGTAAATAAATCAAAGCAGAGTGTTTAGTTCTTCTCTAACAGAGACTAATTTTAATATGCCGTGTACTGTACTATGGAAATAGGTTATTTAATATTAAATAGATCGAAGTAAGTTACATAGTCAAAGTAACAAATGTGAGTCTTCGATGTTTGGTTTTCAGGAAATTTGCATGCAACGTCCTTACACATTTTTACAAAATATATTTTAAAAAATCAGGTAACTGAATGGCTTAGTTTAAAATTATGTGCTTATGTTATGTTAGGTAACATGTATTGGATATTTGCATCTTCAGCAGTGCTATTCTGTAAAATTTTCACGCGGATCCGATGTGGATCCTCGCGGTTCCGATATAAATCCGCGCGGATCCACATCGGAGCCGAGAAAATTTTACAGAAAAACACTGCTGGTCGATTAACGATAGATAATGGTTATTTCTTAAATTATTTAAGAAGGGCGTTTTATGTTCCGTTTTAATTATTTTTTTAATAGCTGTGCCCCACAGTGTTACCGGGGGGCCAATCGCCTAACTGGATTGCTTTGGAAAACGCTATCGCTTACGATTTCATTTTGTTATTTCTAGCCCCCTGAGGTTTTCAAATGCCTCGCGCTCTTTTTTTTTTCTTTTGCATTGGTAATAACAATGTTAAAGAAAATGAGCGTGAGGTATTTCGGCGGTTAGAAATAACAAAATGAAATCGTAAGCGATAGCGTTTTCCAAAGCAATCTGGTTAGGCGATTGGCCCACAGTGTTTTAGCGAGCTATGCGTAAATCCAGGGTGACAGCTAACCCCATACCAAATTTTATTAAAATCGCTCCAGCCGTTTAGACGTGAAGAAGTAACAAACATACACACTCGCAAACTTTCGCCTTTATAATATTAGTGAGACTATCCTATTCCCACGCTCTTGACAATAACTTTTAATGACAGGTAAATACCCGTAATGCCAATCACTTGGCAGAACATCCATCAAAGCAACACACCTTGTTTTAAAAATTGATAACTATAGAGTACCTTTGTTTTAAACAACGAAACCGCCGTGCGAATTTGTTTTGGGAAATATTGAAATGATCCTCAAAGATATAATAAACTAGCGGTTGACCGCAACTCTGTCTGCGTGGAAACATTGTTTTCCTTTTCGCCCCCCCCCCCCCCCTTCCCCCTTTAAGTATGATTTCCGGGATTAAAACTACCCTTTGTCCTTGCCCCAGAACTCAAATTACCAAATGTCATCTAAATCAGTGCAGCGGTTTAAGAATGATGAGGTAAAAGACAAACTGACAAACACACTTTCGCAGTTACGATATTGACCACGTGAGGTGTGCCTAATAATAAAAAAAAATGGGTGCGTGTACTTATGTAGGCGTGTGAGAAGTTATCCTTCTTTGGCATCGTTTAAAATTAGTTTTTAATTGCATGCAAATAATTAATTACAATAAATTAATAAAAAGTCTGGAAAAGGACAAAGTCAATAAAGTTCAGTTTTAATTTGAAAAAATAAATAAATAATCAAAATATTCAATTAAAATCGCCACTGAATATAATTTATTAGAACATATGTGATTTGCACTTGTATGAAACTCAAACACGTATTCCGAATATACAAACTAGAAACATGTGGATAAATATTATAAATATGAATACCTATAACTGTTACTTTATTACAAAAAATAAAGATGTGGTTTTTGGTTCTACTACACCAGCTATACTCTAAGTGTGTTCCGCGGAACCCTAGGGTTCCGTGATACCTCTGTCGGGGTTCCGCAAGAATTTAGAAATAAAAAAATCAAAACACCTCTCTCTGGTCGCTCCGCGGCTGTGCGGACTCCGCGGCCGCGCGGAGACAAAACGCTATGAATGTTATTTATTTATTTATTTGTATTTGTATAAGCTTGTGTTACATTAGCTGGTACAATATCTCATAAGTTTGGTCTCAACAATTTTATACTTGTACAACGCGTTCGCTCTAAGTTTGCCGGTCTGTGGAATGCGCGTACCCTCCCCCACGTGACAACAAAACTTATAATGTGTCATAGTTTTACCCAAATATCTAACGTACACAATTTTTATTGTTACAATTAAATAAAAAATTTCGAACGTCATACACTCATACCTATCGCCAGCGGCAAACTTAAAACGAGCGGGTAGGTATACTTGTAAACGCTCAGTCTCTTTGATAAAAGCCGCCTCTGAATTAGACGCTATAGTTGTCAACTAGCGACTTTCGTCTCTAACTTCAAAGGATAAAGTCGATATTGTTTACAACGCTATTTTTAAATTTCTGTTTTTATTTTTGCTTTTTGTTTATCAAAGGTGCCGACTCGAGTATTTTCGAGAATATTTGAGATCGAGTCTAGGACTAAGTATAAAAGCGGCGATCGCGCGTTGGCGTCGTCAGTTGATGATTAGCGTTCGGAGCGATAAGTTACTACCTACTTACAAGCTCGCTAGCGAGAAACTGGTGTTCATTGTTTTACTGCCTGCTGTATTCTGTTGTCTCAGTTTTATACATTTCTTCCCTGTAGGTTCTAAATTTAGTCTCTTATACGCAGTAACGATTGTGCATTATTTAAACCCCACTATCCTGACTTGTAACATTATAAATAAAGAAGAATGGAACGTTGGCTTAAAGGTGTTAAACGTGTTCCAACAACATCTTCTAATGACGCTGAATGTTCAAAAGCAATGCGCGCGGAGAATTTAGCAATCACCGATCCAGAAGATGATGCCACGAGTGCCACGACGTCAAGCTCGACGGTTTCAAAGACGAAAAAAAGGAAGTATGATGAATCTTATATCAGTTTCGGATTTGTTGATTCCAACGGCTCACCTCTCTGCATGCTCTGTAGTAAACTGCTTCCTAATAGTTCCATGGCACCTGCCAAATTGCGTCGACATTTAGAAACCGTACACCCCGAGACTAAAGACAAGAATAAAGAATTTTTTGTTCGCAAAAAAGATCAGTTATTAGAAAGTCAAAAAAATATGATGCATGTAACACAAACTACCAACGAAAAGGCCACGGAGGCATCATACTTAGTTAGCTATCGCATTGCACAAGCAGGTGAAGCGCACACTATCGCTGAGAAATTAATAAAACCATGTGTATTAGACATAACAAAATGTATGCTTGATGAAAAAT